AACGTAACGGAATACGTTACAGAATACATTTTGGGGCATGTATTCTGTAATCTGTAATGGAATACATTTTAAAAGTAACCTTCCCAACACTGGCTGTGAGTGCTATATTAGCTAGCTTAATTGCCAAGATGTATCCAGATGCACACACAGCTACTCACTGTTAGTAAGTCACTCACCGAAAAACTGGAAGAGTTTGCTGGACGGTCTGTTAACATGGCAGCAAACATGCTCAAAAAGTCCATTTCGGTGACAGGAAGCGGGTGAGGTGACACCTGGAAGACAGCTAGAAGCTACACGTATTATCGACCCGTCACTCAAAACAGCTGAGACCCTAATACTGCATCATCAAAGCCTGTTCTTAATTTTCAAGCCCCAGAGGTTACCACGTGTGTTCAAGCTATAACAACTCCATGACACCAATATGCTTCCTGTTCAAAGCGTTATGGGAAACAAAGCAAACATTTTTATGTTACATGGGAGTAGATAGTGCATGTATCTCAGGTTTGTCAGCTGGAAAGGACTTTCGATGCTCCTGGTTGGTAAAAATGATCAGATTAGCAACTTTAAGCATTAAAGCTGTCACGATGTTGCAAATCTACGCAGAGCGAATCAGCAACATTATTTCTGCTTCAAAGGCCATTTTAACATTAAACTTTGTCTATATTATGAGAAAATGTTTAATAGTACTAATGTACTGATGTATTAATATTGACATTTCCAATGCATTAGCTACTAATTCCATGCATTGTAGTGGATGATGTATTTTGGAAAGCCTTCAGTGTCTGACAGTGAAAAGCTTAGTTAGAGTAAATCATGATGGTTCTAACTTCCTGTTCCAGGATCATACTCGTTATCAGTGAGAGATCTGGACCATAACACAGGTGAAGGAGTGAAGCACTACAGGATCCGCAACATGGACAATGGTGGCTTCTACATCACAGCGAAGATATCCTTCAACTCGCTGAAGGAGCTCGTCCAGCATCACTCACGTGCGTACAGCCTCTTGAGGGGATTATCGATATTGCTCGTTACTGTGGGGTCTTCAGTCTAATCATTTTATACGTTTCTTTTCTTTGTCATCCAGGTGATGCAGACGGGCTGTGCACAAAGCTGGTGAAACCATGTCAGTCGAGGGCGCCGCAGAAGCCCTGGTGGCAGGACGAGTGGGAGATTCCTCGTGAGTCCCTGAAACTGGAACGCAGGCTCGGAGCTGGGCAGTTTGGAGAAGTCTGGATGGGTAAGTGCATTTCCATTTGCATGACTTTTAAAGGTTTGCAGAATTTTGCAGAAAAAGATCGTGTGTACAAAGCCCAGTTGCTCAATCTGGTTGTGGCCTTGACTGCGTGGCTGCCAGAAAGTTTTCGCCAGGGTTTTTCTGCAGTGTATGCAGAAGCGTTTCCTCCATGCAGTCTTAATTGTAGGCTTGTTTGAGCTGGTTAACTGAAGAGTGATGGGAGGTATTAACCGTGTTACACAACATCGCTCAAGCAGCATAAATCTGGCTTCCCTGTGAAGGATTAAGGTAAACAAGACTCAAAGTGTTTGGATCACATGGGTATCAGTTGAGCTGATCTGTACCACAACCCCATTATTACTGAATTGCAGGGGTAACTTTCCCTCTATTCCCCATCCTCATTTGCCAGCACCATTTAACATCCCAAACAAACCTCTCTTTAAGAGCTAAACATTACCAACCATGGAACGTCTCCACTCACAGCCACTTTATACTTACAATGTTTGCTCCCATGTAGCCAGAGCTCTGTTTGTTTCTTCATCCTCATCCAAACATCGGTTCAGTGACATTCTTGAATTGTGGGTGCGACTGTCACTGGCTTTGACATGTTTATACACATGCACATGAAAATAAACAAATACATTTTCTAACGAGATTTCCATAGTAGATAAAAGGGGCAGAGACATGCTTTGAATAGTAAAAATAATTTGCTCACAGTGTCGCTGCACTTCGTGTTTGGTGTGAATTGTTCAGCGCTTTGTGTAACTGAAAGTGAAACTGCTCGGTTGTGGCTTTAGTTGGCATGAGGAGGGTGTCAGTGTTCCAGAGCTGGAATGAGAACCTGTTTGCATGAAAGCCATTCAAAAACTGTTGCTCGCCTGGCCCACGTCGAATCGCTCCACTGGTGACAAAAGAGCTGTGTTTAGAGTCGTCAAATCACCAGCCGGCAACTAGACGGGCTTAATTACTCGTGTGGACAGAACAGAACATTCTTAGTTTGGAGTAGAGGCGTAGCTTTGTTTGTCAATCACCTCAGGGTTATAATCTAATATTTGATTGTGGATAAAAGAGTGGAGTCCTGCTGACTTTGCTTTGTTTGACATATTTGGCACGATATGATATAAATCATTCATCACAGGGAAGGAAAAAAGACAATAAAATAAAGATAAAACATCTTATTAAAAGACAGCTTTACCAAATGGGATTGGTGCTGTGCGATAATAAATCTTCTGTTGTTACACCCACAATGATTTCATTTTCAGAAGCACTGAGCCTGCAAACATTTTTATACACCGCATTTCTCCATTCAGCTTTAAACGCTCCTCCCCTCACCCTCAACCCCAGACACGGCTGCCCTGAGCCCGGTTCTGTCAGAGGCTTCTTCCTGTTAAAGCTGAGCTTTTGAGCCACCAAGTGCTTGCTCATAGGAGGTCATCAGATTCTTGGGTTTTCTCTGTATTATTTTAGGGTCTTTACCTTACACTATATTTTTATTAGACCTTTATTTATCCAGGTAAAAAATCTCATTGAGATTAAAATCTCATTTCCAAGAGAGAGCTGGCATCATGGCAACAAAAGTCACATACCACATAGGTATATAACATTTAAAACAAATACAATATCCCGCACCAACATGTGTAAAATATACAATAACAGATCAAATTAAGAGTACATTAGAAACAATCACACTGAGTAAAAGAGCTGTTCTCTCAAGGTAACCAATTCTGATCATTTCAGTTCCTTCTGCAGATTATTCCAGGAAGCAGGGGCAGCGTATTTAAAAGCCTTTTTCCCCCAATTCTGTTCTGATTTTTGGGACAATCAATTGTATGATATTGTGCGAATGAAGGCTGTATTGGTTGTGGTTTTTACACATATAAACACATAAATAAGATGGAACCAGCCCAAGGAGAGATTTATAGATAAAGATCAACCAGTGGGAGAGTCTGCGAATATGCAAAGATGGGTGACTTTTTTCGAGCAGCACTCTAACATTTGACTTGACTTGTTAGTCATGGCCGCACACAAAAGTAATGATTTAGCATTCAATGTTATTTAATCAACGGCAAACGTGGAGTCGCCCACTTCATTTTAGCCATCTCACTGACAAACCGCTCAGCAAGTTGAAGTCATAGTCTGTGCTGGTGCACTGCACAGATACTGGACTGGTGGTGGGTAACAGATTAAATATTAAGACACTCAAAACAGACACACCCTTGTAATGTGTAACTCCAAAGGCTAAATGGATGTGTATTTATATAACACTTCTTTTGTCTTTTTCAAACTTCGACCCACAGTCATGCGTTTGCATGTCCTCTTGCCACGATTTAAACAGTGAAAGAGTTAGAAACCTGTTTTTGCACCAGACTATGGGAAGGTTTATTTCATCTCTCAAGTCTGATGGGATTAACTTTCTTTAAATCAGCCTCTAGTGGCCCTTCAAACACTTGTTAGCTCAATTTTTTCAGCTCTGACATGCTAAAGTAAAAAGTGCTAACTGGTAAACACCAGCATGAGTTAACCCTGTGATATCTATATGCCCATGTGTTTTCAGGTGTCTACAACAACGACAGGAAAGTGGCAATCAAGAATCTGAAAATGGGCACTATGTCAGTGGAAGCTTTCTTGGCAGAAGCCAACATGATGAAGAACCTGCAGCATTCTCGCCTCGTCCGCCTCTTTGCGGTGGTTACCCAGGAGCCGATCTACATCGTCACCGAGTACATGGAAAATGGTAGGCAGAAACACAACACGTGTCACGACCTGGAGAATTTTACTAATGAGCTAGTAGCGCCCAACACTCAAGAGGGAATTCCACACGTCAGCTGAAGCATTAAAGGAAAATAAATCTGAGCAGTTCCTATTTGAAGGTAAATTAAAGAGATATGCGTTTGTAATCACACCAGCTTTCCATTCAATTAAGTAATCTAAAATATGTCTAAGCCTGTCAGGGTGAGCTCTGTGCCTGCAGCAAAGACAAACGACTTTCTGTTGTAAGTTCTCGTGCTGTTATAGACGCTCAGGATTAAACATGTTGATCTCCTATCAGACTTTGGGTGAAAGCACATGCTCGAACAAAAGAGCGGGCAGCCCGATGCGTTTCTTCTTCTCCCTGAGTCATAATGTCGTCATACACCTGCTCCACCTCAGTGAGCCTGTTGAATCAGTAGAATAGGTTTTGATGGTTCATCCACAGCTGCCCTTCTGTTTGTTTGACTTTGATCTTTGATAAGAGATGAAGCTCTGTCATTTTTACATGAATCGAGTCGTGTGAGGAAATCTGAATGAGGCAGCCGCAGTAACTCACGGGCTCTTCCCCTCAAAACTTGCTGCTTTGATGAAGAGGCCAAGCTCTGATAGGCCATTTTCGGCTTCTCCTCGTGGTCTTCGCTGCTGGGTGCTAAAATGTTTCACAGCAAACATGAACTTTCACTTCTTTGCTGGGCCTCTTCCAGACAGGTTACTGATGTTTACGCATGGAGGGGAAGTCTCTCCGTCTGAGACGAAGGGTGTTAAATTAGGAGAGGATGAATCACTGTGTTATTGTTCACACAGACCCCTGATGGTGCCTGGCTCTTTTCCAGGGACGCATTTGCACAAACGTCGGCACACTGCACCGCTGCGGCCGTAAACAAACACGTCGCAGCGCTTTGAATAACAGTTTGTTCAGCATCTCGCCACTGTGTCTTCCTCTTTTCCCCCTCTCCTCTTACATAACGTATGAGGAATTGCAGTGAATCACAAATCACGTTAGCAGTTTCAGTACTCTCAATAAAGGTTTACTGCACACAAATTTATCACTGAGAGGAACAATCGCAAAATGCCCAGAGAGATGCTGTCACAAACACAACAACGGGCCTACAGCTGAGATGAATGGTGTGCCTTTGTATAGTCGTCTGTGAGTAGCCTGCAAACCACCAGCGCTGGTTCTACGTGAGGCCGTGTCTTTGTCTGGGATCCACATGTTAACGGGACACAATTGTCGCTTCTGTTGTGAAAAGAAAGGACGGCTCTGGAGTTCCCATCTTTTCTGCTTCTCCCTTTTTTTATTATCAGAGACAACAAAGATGGAAAATAACAGGCGTGCCATCCCAGCTTCCCTTTGTGACCTTGACAAAGAGCTTTACCCTGGTTCTCATACTTCAAAAGCTGTCTTCCGGACTTAAGCGGAGGAGTAACTGCCTCTTCTTTCCTGGCACAGTCATTCCTCTGAAACTATTTCCTTTGGTCTGACTTGGTTGGGTGGTGCACAGAGGTATTGTTCTCTGCTAATCAAAGTCAACACAAAGTCAGCTATCAGAAACTTAACTGATGGTCTCTACTTCCTCCAAGTAATATGTTCACTGATTTGAGTTGCTATTCTGGTCCAGCTCGCTGTATTTATGGCTGCGGAGGATGGCGACGGCTTTTTTTGTGGATAAAGGGAAATATCATTAGTCTTGTGGACCGTGCATGGACAGTGTTGCCAACTTAGCGACTTTGTTGCTATATTTAGCGAGTTTTCAGACCCCCTAGCGACTTTTTTTCTACAAAAAGTCGCTAAAAAAAAAAGACGTGAAAGCGCATATCGCTTTTACTCTCAACAAGCAGCGGGTGCTGTAACGCAGTCAGTTCTTCTTTTATTCTTTTACTCTTATGCTGTTTTGTGGATCACAAGGTTTAAAACTACTTATAAACACACACACACAAATTACCTCCACCAGAGTGCCTATTTCGGGTCACTTTTGCCGGTCCAAGCCCGGGTAAAGGAGCAGGGTTGGAAAAATAAAAAAACAATAATTGCTAAAATAAATTTAATTTGTAGTTCTAAATAAATTCTAAATGCATTTAGGACGTTTTTTACTCACTTTATGTCTCTTCCACGATGTTATTTCTCTCTCCAACAACATAGATTACAATTACATTAGCATGACCAATTATGCAAATTAGGTGATGACGTCATTTAGCGACTTCTAGCGACTTTTAGGACAGCCAATAGCGATTTTCCTTACTGAGGCGTTGGCAACACTGTGCATGGATTCATTTTAGCATTCATTGTTGCCTAATCTTTGTTGCATATGCAACCTGTTATTCTTTTTGAATGAATGAAAAGTTAAGTTGTATATTTTTCTTACAGGTAGCCTGGTGGATTACCTGAAAACAACAGAGGGGAGCAATTTGCCCATGAACGTCCTGATAGAGATGTCATCTCAGGCAAGACATTTATTGTTACAGTGAATATATCTGCCCACTTCTCTCCATCCTCTCTTCAAGTTATTTACAAGATTTCGTTTTTCACTTCCTATTATTCTGGCACAGCACTTCCACCCACTAAAGTACCCACTGTTGAGGCTTAGTTTAATCTGGTGATAATATCAGAACCGTGTGCGCGCGCAGATGTGAAACCATGTTGATGAATGCAGGCTGGTCTAGACACTGTGGCACATATACCACAGAGGCTTATTACCACTGAACAAGGGGGCTGTTGCCTGAACATTTTATCTTGTATTTTTTTAATCACACATTTGCACAAAGATGCCAACGTAGCTAAAATTTTTAAAGTATGGCCTTTGCCACCGAATACATGTGGCAGTGAAAGTATTATAATAAGCTTAGGTCGAAAACGAAACAGTGTAGTTGAAACTTCTTTCAAGTCAGACACACTGCTTCCTTATCTTTCCCGTCTTAATGCAAAGCGAAGCTAAACCAGCCAACTGCTGACTTCACACTGGCTTCAGCTGCAAAATTTTAAGCAGATATTACTATTTGTACCCACTCCCACTTTGTGAAATATAACCTGTCAAAGAAGTTAAATGTGTAGGTTTGGGAATGGAAAACAAAACCACAGGAAGTCTAACCTGACGAGATTCTCGATGTGCAAGAGGCAAATTCTCGAACGCCTCAGAGCTCGCTGCAGAGGGCTGGAGCGTGTGCACAGCAGTGAACGCATTTTTACAGAATCAACGTTTTCAAGCCAGTTATGCACTGATAGATTTTGTGGTAACTGTAACCACCATGCAGTGGACCGTAGAGACGAATGTGATTTATTGCTGTGGTCACAACCCTACCTTATGTTTAAATCAGTACATGCATGCAGTTAGAGGAATTAGAGATTTTACTCATAATATTTTGAGAGTGGCAACCACAAATCTAAGTGTGGTTTTAAGAACTTTTTAAATGCTTTCCATTATTTCTTTCATGCCACAATCAAATGAATGGAACAAAGGTGTAAAGAGGTTTAAAGAGGTAGAGGTGGAGGTCACGCTGCCGCTTACGTACATCTCAGGTTTCTCCTCGCCTATGTGACACATTCTCACGCCCGAAATATGCACCGCAGCTTCAGAAAAATTAGATAAAACTAGAGAAATGAACAGATCGCCATAAATGTATCAGATAATTTGTGTTTGCGGAGTGGTGAATTCTGTGGAAATCCTTAGCATCAATTTCCTGATTCATCAGAGCGCACTATCAGAGTTCCTTATAGGTCAAAATGAGCTGTGTTGTACCTGAATGAGTCACAGACTGCCACTGTAATAAACTCTCAGTCTGTGGGAAGGCAAAGCCAGGACTGCAGCGTTTTGTTTTGGGAAGTAGAGCTGGTGTTGTGCACCTGGGTGGAGCACAGAGGTGAAAGGGTAGAGAGAACTGACCCGAGGAAGTAGTCAACTCCCTACTTTGGGAATCTGTCTGGTTCATGTGTCTAACACACGAACATTGCACAGTGCTAAAATACACACAGGCCGTACACAGCCATTTATTTTGTGCTTGAACACACACAGACACACACTCATGCTTCTTTTGTCTTGTGCTGCCCCCTGCAGGTGGCTGACGGCATGGCATTTATTGAGCAGAAAAATTACATTCATCGAGATCTGCGAGCTGCCAATATTCTCGTCTCTCATGAGCTCATCTGCAAGGTTGCTGACTTTGGACTCGCACGACTCATAGAGGACAACGAATACACAGCGAGAGAAGGTAGCAACAGCTTTACCTACATCACGGCATCTCTTCGGCTCTATTTCAGAACATTTCATAGATTCTTGTTTAATCTTCTAGGTGCAAAGTTCCCCATCAAATGGACGGCCCCAGAAGCTATTAATTATGGCACCTTCTCCATAAAATCTGATGTGTGGTCATTTGGGATCCTCCTTACAGAAATAGTGACATATGGACGCATTCCTTACCCTGGTAAATGATCACGCTCGTATTACTCATTCTAGTAATAATAATAATTGTAAAAACATTTGATTTCTTATTTGTTTATTTATTTTTTATCAGGTATGTCCAACCCAGAGGTAATCCAGAACCTGGAGCGGAGCTACAGAATGCCACAGCCTGACAACTGCTCCGATGCTCTTTATAGCATCATGTGTCACTGCTGGAAGGAGAATCCGGAGGAGAGACCTACGTTCGAGTACCTGAGGAGTGTTCTGGAGGATTTCTTCACATCCACAGAGAGGCAATACCAGGAATAGCTAGGAATAGACACATACAATAAACAGATTCAAACTAAGGCCCAGCCTGTGACAGAGGATGCTGGATTTAGATTTTTTTCTTTAGAAGAATGCATGCCTTTCTACTGATAGCAGACATTTTCCAAGTTTCTGCATGAAATATATTCTGACGTGACCACTTAGATATGATACTATTACCTGTGGAACTATGAATATGAACCAGAAACAGCTGGATCAGAGCCAGCAGCAGAGGGGAGAGTGATCGCCAAGCTGCTTGAATTAACTGGGGACTGACTGATGTAGCTGGATAAGCAGCTGCTCTCCTGGTGCTTGTTGTTAACGTGTAAATACTGTTCACTGCTTCAGCTGTGTTTTACCTCTGCTGTTTAATAAATGTTTTTGAAAGTGTTTTAATTTCAGTAAAAAAAAGAGAAGTTGTTCATGAATGTTGTTTGTTACCAGATGACATGTGCATTATTTTAGTTTATCGTTGCTGATGTTGCAGTGCGTTACCCTGAAATCACGAGAGCCGTCAAACTATTGCTATTGCTCGAGTACTGTAGGTTTTGGGGTAACTTCTGAGTCTTCCATTGATCTTGGGTTCTTTAAACTTGTACTGCATTTTGTTTTAAAGGCAAATAATATTTTACAATGCTGTATTTATTTTAGGGGCAGCGCTACTTGCTTATTGTAGGATTTTATTTACGTAACACAGACGTTTATATTTGAGAAATGTGCCTCTGATTAAATATGGAGAAAGCAGCTGCATCATTAAAATGCTGTTTACAACAATTTTTTTGTTTTTTCTATATATTTATTATTTCTTTTTTATTTTTGTTTTCCATTTAGTTTTCTTTTCCCGAGTGGGTTTGCTTGAGTAGGTTTACTGCTTTTAGTTTAGTTTATACTAATTAAAGCATCAGTTCTAGCTCACTTTTTCATAATAATAATAATAATATAGGGAGGCTTTCCCCAAGTACTGTAATTTTTTCCCCTAAACGATTCATTTTTGTAAGTTAAATAAAACAAAATCAATCTGAGTTTTAGCTTTGACTTTACTTATAATTAAATATACTAATTGCTTTGTTTTTTGACCAGACAAAAGCCAGCATACCTGTAGTGCTGGTTCCAGTCCTGGATAAATCGAGAGAGTTGTATCCGGAAGAACATCTAACCAAAAATTAGATCTTCATACCTTTTCAGTCAGATCCCAGTTTAACAATGACTTCCTTTGGTGCTGTTGGGCAACATGGTGAAGGTGGAAACTGTGCAAAGGTCGGCTGAAGACAAATGAAAAAGAAAAAAGAAAGTGTGTTAGGCAGCAGAGAGAGAATGAAAGGCAGGGCAGAGGTGAGAGTATGGACTCTAAATTTAAAGACTCTGACAGGTAAAGGAGGAGGGCTGCTGGTACGATGGAGAGAAGCAATGGTGATGGAACAGTTGACCCACACAATCAGACAGCAGGCTCTGAGGACTATGAATCATAGTCCATAGTCCATCTTTTTCTATAGAAAATGGAGATAGTGATAGTAACAAAAGAGTCAGGTGGTCAAGCTGAAGATTTTCATTGATAGAAAAGATAAGGAATGCCTACATCAGAAGGACAGAGACAAATAGAGACAAAGTTGGAGAGGTGAGGCTGACAGGATGCTACAGATCGGCTGAGATGGAGGCAGATGATCCACTTTGGCGACCCCTAAAGGGATCTTTATCTTTATTATACTTCGGCTTCTATGTTAATGTTGAGATTTGAATGAAGCAGAATCTCTTCTAACTAAAATAAAAACAATTATAATATTGCTGTCTTTAATGAGGCAAACTACAGAAATAATTTCCTTCCTCATCCGCGCTGTGGTTCATGTCGTGGATTCTGTCAGCCTCTCCCTCTGTCGCCCCCTGTGGCGAGACTGTAGCATCACACTCCATTGATTGGCCGTGGCACAAACTCTCCGCCTCTTGTCGCCGTTGTCTCCTGCGGTGTGTGTGCGGCGGCGGTGAAATTCAGCTAAAAACGGACTAAAAAATGGCGCTTACTTCTCAAGGAACAAAGAAAAAAGTTTGCTACTACTATGATGGTGAGTACTGGGGTGGCTGCACTCTAAACCGCTGGCGTGTTGATGAATCAAACACGCCTCTCTGCACTAACAAAGGTTACCGTTTCTTTTTTTTAACCTCCTGCTAACCTGGCACTGTTGCTAACGTAGCTAGCTCGAGTCGCAGGCGGCTTTGCAGCATCTGAGCCGCTCACAGTCCCGCTGTGTCCGAGCAGAGCCTTAATGTTCCAATAATATTTGCTCAGACTGTCTAAACACTAGGGTTTCTTTTCAGATGTTGCTTAAATGCGTTTTCTTCCGGACCTTGTTACTTTAACTGGACTAGTTAATGTTACTAGCTAGCAGGCTAACAATGGGTACTTCATTGTTAATACAGTTGGTTAATAGTAGGCTAACACTTGGTTAGGTCGTCTTACTTCCTTCAGATGTCGGTGGTTCTGGTTAAAAAAAACGCTTTTCATCGATATTGACCCACAGTGCACTAAATCCTCCGTGTACGCCACGAGTTTGGACTTTAACAGAGACTCTTTGATCTGCGTGTCTTGGCTGGAGGTCCTTAACAGACCTGCGTGAAGTTACAGCTGGATACCTTCACAACCTTTTCCGCTGCATGGATGTTTCATACGTGCAAACCTCTGTACTTCAGCCCTGCTTCTCCTAACTGAGGTCGTGACTGTAGAGTAAAATAGTAATCCAGTGTGTTTTTATTTGTTCTCATTTCAGGTGATGTTGGAAACTATTATTATGGCCAGGGGCATCCCATGAAGCCCCACCGAATCCGCATGACACACAACCTGCTACTGAACTATGGCCTCTACAGAAAGATGGAAATATACGTATGTGAAAGTTACAGTCTGGATGTGTACGTTTGGTTTTAGTAGCTGTTAGTAATTTGCCCTTTTTGTTGCAGCGTCCACACAAAGCGAGTGGAGAGGAGATGACCAAGTATCACAGCGACGATTACATCAAGTTCCTGCGTTCAATCCGGCCCGATAACATGTCAGAATACAGCAAACAAATGCAGAGATGTAAGAGACTTGCTGTTTAGCTAAAGTCAATTAAACTGATTGTGTACGTAGACTAATTTTGTGCTTTGCTTTACAGTTAATGTGGGGGAGGACTGTCCAGTGTTTGATGGATTATTTGAGTTCTGCCAGCTGTCAGGCGGGGGCTCCGTTGGTGAGTTTTCTTTATTTGAACTCTCATCGGAGAGGCATGCTGCCTCTTTCACTAATAATGTCAGTAATCTGCTAAATTCAACATAATCTGATTCTCAATTCTCACATCCTCGCGGTCCTCCAGCTGGTGCTGTGAAGTTGAACAAACAGCAGACAGACATTGCTATCAACTGGGCTGGAGGCCTTCATCACGCCAAGAAGTCAGAGGCCTCTGGGTTTTGTTATGTCAATGACATCGTGTTGGCTATCCTGGAGTTACTGAAGTAAGTCAAAAATGCTACAGCAGGGGAAAGGGAAGTAAAAGTCTCTGCATAATTACTTCTCCAAAAGATACAGTTTTAGATGAGTAGATTGAAAACAAAAGTTGAGGAGGTGCCACACTCTTAATCAGTGATCAGTGCAAGACAGATGGGTTGGTAGAAACTATAGCACGATAAAAACAACTTTCACACAGCCTTAGATGAAGAATTATAAGTATGCACAAATTGGAAAACGCAAAATAGCTTTTCTCAACACTTGATTGCTCGTCAGACTCACTATACTCAGTATAAATCCATCAAAAGTCATACCAGGAGGTGTAAATAAAGGCATGAATGTTGACAAAAACACTGTAGAAGTCTCAAGGCCTGCCAAAATCCAAATTCAATTCAAAAGACCACCTTTGGGAGGGCAGAAAAAGAAAAAAAGGCACTGCATACCAAAACCTCATTCCAGTTGTAAAACATACTGGAAGAAGCATCGTGGTTTCTTTGGTACCTCACAGCTGATAACAAACTGTTCTTTGAAGAAACTGTGTTTTTGCAAGATGAAGGAAGCCACTGACCCAAAGTGCACAAGTGACTCAAAAGTAAATGAGGATATTTCTGACATTATGTGGATTCCAAGAACTTTTCCTTTTATTTTCAGATACCACCAGAGAGTTCTGTACATAGATATTGACATCCATCACGGAGACGGTGTGGAAGAGGCTTTCTACACCACAGACCGTGTCATGACCGTGTCCTTCCACAAGTATGGCGAGTACTTCCCCGGCACCGGTGACCTCAGGGTAGGTCTTTGATGAATACATTTCAAAATGTCAGTGTGGTAATGCAGTCAGTTGATATTTGCTTTGTTCTCTGTAGGACATCGGAGCTGGAAAGGGCAAATATTACGCTGTGAATTACCCGCTGAGGGATGGGATTGACGATGAGTCCTATGAAGCCATATTTAAGCCTGTGAGTAAAAAACTATTGGTAACTTTTGCACTTTGACAATTTTGGACCGAAACATTCGTGATAGTGTTTGTGTTGTTTGTGTAGATCATGGCTAAAGTGATGGAGATGTACCAACCCAGCGCGGTGGTTCTCCAGTGTGGAGCTGATTCGCTGTCTGGAGACAGGCTTGGTTGCTTTAACCTCACCATTAAAGGTTGGCTAACTAAAACAAAAATCCTCTTCTCTTGATCTAAATTGGACTGAGACTCTAAAGAAGGCTTAATGATTGTTTCCGTGTTGTTTGCTTTAGGTCATGCTAAGTGTGTGGAGTATATGAAGAGCTTCAACCTGCCACTGCTTATGCTGGGTGGAGGAGGCTATACTATCCGTAACGTGGCACGCTGCTGGACGTATGAGACTGCCGTGGCCCTAGATACCTCCATCCCAAATGGTGTGTTTAAATGTCTTTGCTGTAATTAAGACACAGGCGTTGGGTAACATTCTTCTGTGCTGGTCCCACGAACTAGCAGCAAACTTTGGTTTCATCGCACTAAAGGAGGCCAGCTGCCTCCTTAAAGCATTAACATACTTTTAATAAAACTTGCTTCACAGAGCTTCCATACAACGACTACTTTGAGTACTTTGGGCCAGACTTCAAGCTGCACATCAGCCCCTCCAACATGACCAATCAGAACACCAACGACTACCTGGAGAAGATCAAGTAAGCTCATGAAAATAGATTAAATTAGTATTTTTTTTTAACCTTTTTTTGAACCACGACACATTTTATAGAACAAAAATATCCCGTGGCACCCTGCCAGCAAAACATGTTCCGAAATGACACATTGTAGCCTGAAACAGAACCTAAATCAGCAATTTGGTCTGTTTGCTTACACTCGGTGTGAAACCTGGGCCTGTTAAATGAACACAAAGCTCTTCCTCGACAGCTCTTTAGTTTTTATAGCAGCCTTGCTGGAAAAGATCAGCTCACATATGTTTTGACTGAAAAATCCTCTTTCTCCCCTCTAGGCAGCGCCTGTTTGAGAACTTGCGGATGCTCCCTCATGCCCCTGGTGTCCAGATGCAGGCCATTCCAGAAGATGCAGTGCAGGAGGACAGCGGGGATGAGGAGGAGGAGGATCCCAACAAGCGCGTGTCCAGTAAGAACCTTCACACAGACCCCAGTTCAGTTCAAACTGCCAGACGGGAGAGTGTAACATGTTCAAATGTAACCCCTCAGTTCGTTCTCGTGACAAGAGGATAGCCTGTGAGGAGGAGTTCTCTGATTCGGAGGATGAAGGTGAAGGAGGCCGCAGGAATGCTGCCAGCTTCAAGAAGGCCAAGCGAACTAAATCTGAAGGAGAGAAAGAGGGAGAAGAAAAGGAGAAGAAAGGTGAGGGAGAAACAAAAGGTATCTATGCTTTTCATTCTCATCTCACTTATCTCTGTAATATCATGAGCACTTAAATATGATTTTATGGCTCTCGGGCCAGCTGATGCTATTTTTGTTTTTAACAGAAGTCAAAGAAGAAGAGAAGGTGCCAGAGGAGGAGAAAATGGACACATCAAAGTGAGAAAACAGTGCACACACACACACATTGACGCTGGTGTCCAGGAGGTGGTTAAGTGGGAATGCTAATAATGTCCTTACTCGCTGTTACTCTGGGTTCTTTAGGCCAAAAGAGGAATCCAAGACACCTTGAGGTCCTCAGCACCCAGAGACGCCAATACAACAGATCAGAACGGAGATTTTGTTTGGATAAGACTGCTGCAGTGGAAGCAAATAAAGGACTTTGACTTTACAATGAGACCTCTCTCCGTGAGAATGGAGACGGGTTCTGTGTTTTTCTAGAAAACCTTTTCAACTTTGCTGTTAATGGACTGAAGTGTTGTTTTTGTATACGGTTTCGTTTTTTTATGCTCTTATACTTGCTTTTCCCCCCTCTTGTGACCAACAATGTAAAAATGGCTTCGCACATGTCTGCTTTTATATATCTGATGGATTTAATTTATTTAAATCATGATATTTTGGCTACTTTATTTTAGGTATTTCAGTCCCACTTTTTGTCCCGTGCCTTTGAATATGTAGTTGAGCAGCATGCTGGTACCCTAGATCCTTTTCTGTAATGTTGTGTCACTGGTCTTGCCTGCCAAAGTCAGTGAGACGCTTGAACATTCGCAGTTAGCTTTTATGTGGCACATCGTAAGCATATTTTTATATTTTAGGTTCTAGTTTATATCCTTTACAGACACGATGACATCTGTCTGATTTCTGGGGCTCGCGGGTTGTGATATTGATAATGTTTTGTCAGATTGAATCAGACTTAGTGTAAGGCTTAGATTTCACAGGAACTTGAGAGGCAAGACATGTCAGAGACCATCTGTTGTGTGTGTATATATAAATTTGTATTCTGAAAAACATCAGTAAAAGTGTTCAACACAAAAGACGACAGCTTCCAGATGTTATTGATCAACAAAAGTTTCCGTAGTTTTCAGTTTTGTTTGGAAACGTTTTACTTCTTTGACGTAAGAATACAAAAAAATAACCAAGTTAGCTTTTAAGCTACAGGTGGCAGCTCTGTATTTAAGACATCAGTACATTAAACAAAAATCTAAATATTAAACCAAACCAGTAGCAGTACTGTTTGCTCGTGCATTTTGATATAAAAAGGCTAGCCCTACTGTCAACTTGTCTTCATACATTAAATGTGTAACACCACACGCTTTAGCCAGTGCAGCTCAGCACTTTGTAACCTATTCTCTTAGATTCAGCTGCTTCAGAGTGAGTCAAAATGCACCCCAGCAGTGTTGCTGTCCAGCAGGTCATCCTGCTCTGTAGATCCCGCTTCAGCGTCCGTCTCCCTGTATTGCAGTGTTGGCGTTTGTGTGGTTTCAGCAGATCTCCGCATCTGAAATATGAATGATTTCACATGATGTTTTCCAACAGTGGGGATGGGATAGAATTAATAGGTTTACTTCATGGTGGTAATAAGATGTCAACTTCTAATCTCTTGATTAGAGCTACTGCAAAGCTATATATGCAGAAATTGGTTCAAAACACAAGTACGTGTCATGCAACATGCATTGAGACGGGAGTTTGTTTTGTTTTTTAACATGTAGCTAAGATGTTACATCCAAACCGTTTGGTCCACAACTCATTTTTCAATCACATTATTTCATATTTTCTAGAGTGCACAAGTGTGTTCTCATTATTTCGGGTAATGTCTGGGTTTGAGATAACCCAACAATCACAAAATTTAAGTTTTAATTGTGACAACATTTATGTACTAGTCATTGTACTGCTTGGTTTGAAATTGGTCTATATTTAGCTGAAGATCTTGCAGCTTATATAAGCTACGCCATATCTGTAGCACCAGTTACCACTGTCCTCCATTTGTCTGTATTAAACTCAAACACGTTGCTACTTATGGATACAATGAAGCCTACAATACAGGATTTTGGAGTTATCCAGGAAACTTCAGGCTTAACCCTGGGTTTGAACAGGACTTTACAAGTGTTTCATTAGCATTAATATATTATCATGAAACAGGACACTTATTTATACTTGTGGACGCTGTAAGAAATCCACATGCAGCTAATGCCCGAATTATGCTTCAGCGGGAAAACTTCGACATCGGGCAACGCAGCCCACAAAGCTTCTGCTTGGCATGGACAGTTGGAGGGTAGGTTA